GAAAATGTATTTAATATTGATAATTGTCCAAATGTTTTGTGTCACACGACCAATGAAGTCATGAAGCAAGTTCCTTTAGAAATAATGAGAACATTGGATGTGATTCAACAGCAGCGTTCTCTGGAGGGCAAGAGGAATACCAAGAAAAACATGGATAGATGGCAAAGTTGATGCTGCAAAAATATGAACAAACCCGTTACACAAGCTACCTAAGAAGCAGAAGACAAACTGAGAAAACTATGACATAGGGCTACAACCTGGTCACAATATGACGACACAAGACATTACCATAGGGCTACAGCCTGGTCACAATATGACGACACAAGACATTACCATAGGGCTACAACCTGGTCACAATATGACGACACAAGACATTACCATAGGGCTACAGCCTGGTCACAATATGACGACACAAGACATTACCATAGGGCTACAGCCTGGTCACAATATGACGACACAAGACATTACCATAGGGCTACAGCCTGGTCACAATATGACGACACAAGACATTACCATAGGGCTACAGCCTGGTCACAATATGACGACACAAGACATTACCATAGGGCTACAGCCTGGTCACAATATGACGACACAAGACATTACCATAGGGCTACAGCCTGGTCACAATATGACGACACAAGACATTACCATAGGGCTACAGCCTGGTCACAATATGACGACACAAGACATTACCATAGGGCTACAGCCTGGTCACAATATGACGACACAAGACATTACCACAAGACAGTGATGTGAGGATGGTAATTTCACACATTGGCATATACAACAGGACAATAATGTGATGTTTCACACATCAGTTCCGTAAAGATATGTTTCACACATCAGTTCTGTGAGGATGTGATGTTTCACACATCAGTTCTGTAAAGATGTGATGTTTCACACATCAGTTCTGTAAAGATGTGATGTTTCACACATCAGTTCTGTGAGGATGTGATGTTTAACACATCAGTTCTGCGAAGATGTGATGTTTCACAAATCAGTTCTGTGAAGATGTGATGTTTCACTCATCAGTTCTGATGTGATGTTTCACAAATCGGTTCTGTGAAGTTGTGATATTTCACACATCAGTTCTGTGAAGATGTGATTTTCACACATCAGTACTGTGAAGATGTGATGTTTCACACATCAGTACCATGAAGATGTGATGTTTCACAAATCAGTTCTGTGAAGATGTGATGTTTCACTCATCAGTTCTGTGAAGATGTGATGTTTCACAAATCAGTTCTGTGAAGATGTGATTTTCACACATCAGTACTGTGAAGATGTGATGTTTCACACATCAGTACTGTGAAGATGTGATGTTTCACACATCAGTACTCTGAAGATGTGATGTTTCACACATCAGTACAGTGAGGATGTGATGTTTCACACATCAGTACCGTGAAGATGTGATGTTTCACACATCAGTACCGTGAGGATGTGATGTTTCACACATCAGTACCATGAAGATGTGATTTTCACACATCAGTACAGTGAGGATGTGATGTTTCACACATCAGTACCGTGAAGATGTGATGTTTCACACATCAGTACCGTGAGGATGTGATGTTTCACACATCAGTACCGTGAAGATGTGATTTTCACACATCAGTACTGTGAAGATGTGATGTTTCACACATCAGTACCGTGAAGATGTGATGTTTCACAAATCAGTTCTGTGAAGATGTGATGTTTCACTCATCAGTTCTGTGAAGATGTGATGTTTCACAAATCAGTTCTGTGAAGATGTGATTTTCACACATCAGTACTGTGAAGATGTGATGTTTCACACATCAGTACTGTGAAGATGTGATGTTTCACACATCAGTACCGTGAAGATGTGATGTTTCACATATCAGTACCGTGAGGATGTGATGTTTCACACATCAGTACCGTGAAGATGTGATGTTTCACACATCAGTACCGTGAAGATGTGATGCAATGTCTAGTCGGACTCTCACATCTATTCTGTCCCCAGGTTCCCGATGCTGATGATGAAAGTAGTGTGTTTGGGGAGTATCAGTGCGAGGCAGAAAACTCTCTGGGAAAGGAACGACGGACGGTCAGGCTAGTTAAAGCAGGTATGCTGGCTGGTTTTTGTGTTCACCTTTTATGTGAGGGTTAGTCTGTCACAGATGGGTCACACTGTCACAGGTGGGTCAGACTGTCACTGATAAGTCAGACTGTCAAAGGTAGGTCAGTCTGTCACAAGTGGGTCAGCCTGTCAAAGGTAGGTCAGACTGTCACAGATGGGTCACACTGTCACAGGTGGGTCACACTGTCACAGGTGGGTCACACTGTCATAGATGGGTCAGACTTTAAAAGGCAGGTCAGTCTGTCAAAGGCAGGTCAGTCTGTCAGAGGCAGGTCAGTCTGTCAAAGGTAGGTCACACTGTCACAGATGGGTCACACTGTCACAGATAGGTCACACTGTCACAGATGGGTCACACTGTCATAGATGGGTCAGACTGTCAAAGGCAGGTCAGACTGTCACAAGTGGGTCAGTCTGTCACATGTGGGTCAGCCTGTCATAGACAGGTCGGACTGTGACAGGTAGGTCAGTCTGTTACAGGTGAATGAAGCCTATGCAAATTGTTCTCCCCCAATCTTGTATGTCCTGTCGTAAGGGTAAGAATGAACAACTATCCTTACACTTCAGAGAGTTTTGCTGTACTTAATGCATTCCCTGTTTGTTTTTGTTTTTTTTGTCATCCACTTCTTGTGCACTCTTCTCCTCTCATGTCAGCACTTGTTAGATACAAGACTAGTGTTAGTAGCTGATGTGACATAAAGTGTTGGTAGCTGATGTGACAACTAGTGTTGGTAGCTGATGTGACAACTAGTGTTGGTAGCTGGGTTGACAACTAGTGTTGGTAGCTGATGTGACAACTAGTGTTGGTAGCTGGGTTGACAACTAGTGTTGGTAGCTGGGTTGACAACTAGTGTTGGTAGCTGAGTTGACAACTAGTGTTGGTAGATGAGTTGACAACTAGTGTTGGTAGATGAGTTGACAACTAGTGTTGGTAGCTGGGTTGACAACTAGTGTTGGTAGATGAGTTGACAACTAGTGTTGGTAGATGAGTTGACAACTAGTGTTGGTAGCTGGGTTGACAACTAGTGTTGGTAGCTGGGTTGACAACTAGTGTTGGTAGCTGGGTTGACAACTAGTGTTGGTAGCTGGGTTGACAACTAGTGTTGGTAGCTGGGTTGACAACTAGTGTTGGTAGATGAGTTGACAACTAGTGTTGGTAGATGAGTTGACAACTAGTGTTGGTAGATGAGTTGACAACTAGTGTTGGTAGATGAGTTGACAACTAGTGTTGGTAGATGAGTTGACAACTAGTGTTGGTAGATGAGTTGACAACTAGTGTTGGTAGCTGGGTTGACAACTAGTGTTGGTAGCTGGGTTGACAACTAGTGTTGGTAGCTGAGTTGACAACTAGTGTTGGTAGATGAGTTGACAACTAGTGTTGGTAGATGAGTTGACAACTAGTGTTGGTAGCTGAGTTGTATGAATGATTGTAACATTTTTGTGTCAATGGTTGTACTGTTGTTGTTTTTATGATTGTGTCATTGTTGTATCTATGATTGTACCATTGTTGTATCAATGATTGTACCATTGTTGTATCAATGATTGTACCATTATTGTATCAATGATTGTGCCATTGTTGTATCAATGATTGTGCCATTGTTGTATCAATGATTGTGCCATTGTTGTATCAATGATTGTGCCATTATTGTATCTATGATTCATTGTTTCATACTCTATGCTGATGTCTGTGAGTGTATGATTGTGTCTGTGTTGTATCTTTGATTGTGTCTGTGTTGTATCTTTGATTGTGTCTGTGTTGTATCTTTGATTGTGTCTGTGTTGTATCTTTGATTGTGTCTGTGTTGTATCTTTGATTGTGTCTGTGTTGTATCTTTGATTGTGTCTGTGTTGTATCTTTGATTGTGTCTGTGTTGTATCTTTGATTGTGTCTGTGTTGTATCTTTGATTGTGTCTGTGTTGTATCTTTGATTGTGTCTGTGTTGTATCTTTGATTGTGTCTGTGTTGTATCTTTGATTGTGTCTGTGTTGTATCTTTGATTGTGTCTGTGTTGTATCTTTGATTGTGTCTGTGTTGTATCTTTGATTGTGTCTGTGTTGTATCTTTGATTGTGTCTGTGTTGTATCTTTGATTGTGTCTGTGTTGTATCTTTGATTGTGTCAGTGTTGTATCTTTGATTGTGTCTGTGTTGTATCTTTGATTGTGTCTGTGTTGTATCTTTGATTGTGTCTGTGTTGTATCTTTGATTGTGTCTGTGTTGTATCTTTGATTGTGTCTGAGTTGTATCTTTGATTGTGTCTGTGTTGTATCTTTGATTGTGTCTGTGTTGTATCTTTGATTGATTCTGTGCTATTATATATTTGTGTCTTAGCTTATTTCTGCGAATTTGTAAATTTTTCTATGATTGTCTGTGCATGTTTCTGTGACTGCCTAAATTTTTAGTCAATGATTGATTCTGTGATATTCTGTATTTGTGTGTCTGCTTATATATACAACTTTGTTTGTGTCTTTGATTGTTTCTGTGTTGTATCTTTGATTGATTCTGTGCTATTATGTGTCTGTGTGTCTGCGTATATATACAACTTTGTTTGTGTCTTTGATTGTTTGTGGTTGTGTGCATGCTTGGTCTATACACATGTCTCTGATTGTCTGATTGTATTCATGATTGTACCTATGCTTCTTTCAGAGTTTCATGCTTATTTCTGTGCTTGTGTCTCTGATTGTCTGATTGAATTTTTTTATTGTACCTACATTTCTTTCAGTGTTCAGTTATATCTGTGCTTGTGTCTCCGATTGTATGATTGTATCCATGATTGTATTGAAGATTATTTTAGTGTTCCATGCTTATATCTGTGCTTGTGTCTCCGATTGTATGATTGTATCCATGATTGTATTGAAGATTATTTAAGTGTTCCATGCTTATATCTGTGCTTGTGTCTCTGATTGCAGTGGGTCCAGATGGTCCGACTGTCAGAATAACAAAAGTACTGCCCACGATGGTCACACTGGAGATAGATGTCCCAGAAAATGATGGGGGACAACCTGTGACGGGCTACTTCTACAGTTTTTTCCCCTTTAACGACACAACTGAAGGAAAGGACAGACACATGGATTTGTATGTAGAAGCTGATGAGGGCACCACAACACATGTCGACTTACGGAACCTTCTAGCAAAGACAACATATGTTTTAGAAATTCGAGCCAAAAATAGTGTTGGCCAGGGGGAGCTGACTACAGAACAGTTTGAGACCACTGATGTCAGCAAGCCACAGCAACTAAATATGACCTCCAAACTGGAGAGCTCGGAACCCACATCTTATAAAGTCACCTGGTCAGAACCATATAATGGTGGCTCCCCCATCGTACAGTATACCATCAAGTACAAGAAGGTCGGTAAACTTCACACTGCCGTTCTTTCACAGAATCTGAAGTTTTCTGTTGGTTTCTCTGTGCATCTTCCTCATCCTCTTTCTCCTGTATTTAAAATTTCTCTGTTATCATTGTCATTCCTTCTCTTTTCTTGTCTTCTCTAACCTCCATGTTACTTGTTCCATCTGTTATCATTGATCCCAGTCAAGCAAGTCAAAAGTCAAGGACCCTTTCCACACTTCTGGTGCAGCAGGCCTCTGGTGCCAGATCTGTATTTGTACTGACCAATCAGGACAGAGTTGATTATTTGATCAGCATCACATTGGCGGCCTTTACTTCCCAGGACATGACCTGGTACCCCTTTTAGGCTGGCTTGACCTGGGAGTCAAGGTCAGTTTGGAAAACAATCTCTTGATGCAGAATTGGTCCCATGACCTTTGGGCTAGCAGGTGAGCATCTAGAAACTACACCACTGCAGCTTCAATCACTGGCCATTGATACCTGACCCTGACCCCTCATTCGTGTTTAGCTCCAATCACTGGCCATTGATACCTGACCCTGACCCCTCATTCGTGTTTAGCTCTAATCACTGGCCATTGATACCTGACCCTGACCCCTCATTCGTGTTTAGCTCTAATCACTGGCCATTGATACCTGACCCTGACCCCTCATTCGTGTTTAGCTCTAATCACTGGCCATTGATACCTGACCCTGACCCCTCATTCGTGTTTAGCTCTAATCACTGGCCATTGATACCTGACCCTGACCCCTCATTCGTGTTTAGCTCTAATCACTGGCCATTGATACCTGACCCTGACCCCTCATTCGTGTTTAGCTCTAATCACTGGCCATTGATACCTGACCCTGACCCCTCATTCGCGTTTAGCTCCAATCACTGGCCATTGATACCTGACCCTGACCCCTCATTCGTGTTTAGCTCTAATCACTGGCCATTGATACCTGACCCTGACCCCTCATTCGTGTTTAGCTCTAATCACTGGCCATTGATACCTGACCCTGACCCCTCATTCATGTTTAGCTCCAATCACTGGCCATTGATACCTTACCCTGACCCCTCATTCGTGTTTAGCTCCAATAACTGGCCATTGATACCTGACCCTGACCCCTCATTCGTGTTAAGCTCTAATCACTGGCCATTGATACCTGACCCTGACCCCTCATTCGGGTTTAGCTCCAATCTCTGGCCATTGATACCTGACCCTGACCCCTCATTCGTGTTTAGCTCCAATCACTGGCCATTGATACCTGACCCTGACCCCTCATTCATGTTTAGCTCTAATCACTGGCCATTGATACCTGACCCTGACCCCTCATTCGTGTTTAGCTCTAATCACTGGCCATTGATACCTGACCCTGACCCCTCATTCGTGTTTAGCTCCAATCACTGGCCATTGATACCTGACCCTGACCCCTCATTCGTGTTTAGCTACAATCACTGGCCATTGATACCTGACCCTGACCCCTCATTCATGTTTAGCTCTAATCACTGGCCATTGATACCTGACCCTGACCCCTCATTCGTGTTTAGCTCCAATCACTGGCCATTGATACCTGACCCTGACCCCTCTTTCGTGTTTAGCTCCAATCACTGGCCATTGATACCTGACCCTGACCCCTCATTCGTGTTTAGCTCTAGTTCTAGACACAGCATACTCACCTGTCCTCTCTGACATGTCTAGTTTCTGTGTTTAGTTCTAATTCTGGACAGCACATCCACACCTGTTCTCTCATTCCTGTCTAGTTTCTGTGTTAAGTTCTAATTCTGGACAGCACATCTACACCTGTTCTCTCATTCCTGTCTAGTTTCTGTGTTAAGTTCTAGTTCTGGACAGCACATCTACACCTGTCCCCTCTGTCATGTCTAGTTTCTGTGTTTAGTTCTGGACAGCACATCTACACCTCTCCCCTCATCTAAGTCTAGTTTCTGTGTTTAGTTCTAGTTGTGGACTGCATATTCCCATGTCTCCTCATTCATGTCCAGTTTCTGTGTTTAGGTCTAGTTCAGGACAGTACATATTCAACTGTCCCCTCATCCATGTCTAGTTTCTGAGTTTAGTTCTACTTTTGGACAGCACATCTACACTTGTCCCCTCATCAATGTTCAACTCCTGTGTTAAATCAAAGTTCTAGTTCTGGACAGCACATCTTCTTCTATCTCTTCAAACACACTGTACAGCTTTATCCAACAGTTGTGTACCTGCCAGTCCTGTTTACAAGAGGCAAACACAGAAACAACATTTGTGAAGAGAGCATCTGCAGTCTCCTGAAGATGTGCCCAGTAGTTTGCAGAGATTTCTTCAGCAGCAACTCAGATTGTTTATTTATTTGAGTGTCCATCATGAGTGTCTCTTCCATGACATTGTCTAGGGTTGGGCTGCATTTCTGAGCTGAATTGTTTACTGCCGCATATTGATTTTATTTGATTCAAGAACCCACATTACAGCACTCGGGGCATTCCTATAAGTGCTCTGTCCCCATCTTCAGCAGCCAGCAAAGAGTTCCAATACTAATGGTGCCGCATAACAAATCTAAAATTTTCCTGAAGTTGACTGTATTGTTTGTACAGGGACGCAGAATATTTCAAATTAAAGAGAAATGAATACAGAATCAATCTATACTATTTAAGTCTCAGTATTATATATACACACACACACACACACACACACATGCACGCACGCACGCACGCACGCAGACACGCACACACACACACACACATACATACATACATATATATATAATAATTATTATTATTATTAAAATTACACAAAATTCAATTATGTTAGACACACATAGATACTGTTTTTACAAGTGAAGTTTCCTTACCTTGCATTTTACTTGTTCAACAACACTGCTATCCATTTTACTTGTTCAACAACAACACTGCTATCCATTTTACTTGTTCAACAACAACACTGCTATCCATTTTACTTGTTCAACAACAACACTGCTATCCATTTTACTTGTTCAACAACAACACTGCTATCCATTTTACTTGTTCAACAACAACACTGCTATCCATTTTACTTGTTCAACAACAACACTGCTATCCATTTTACTTGTTCAACAACAACACTGCTATCCATTTTACTTGTTCAACAACAACACTGCTATCCATTTTACTTGTTCAACAACAACACTGCTATCCATTTTACTTGTTCAACAACAACACTGCTATCCATTTTACTTGTTCAACAACACTGCTATCCATTTTACTTGTTCAACAACAACACTGCTATCCATTTTACTTGTTCAACAACAACACTGCTATCCATTTTACTTGTTCAACAACAACACTGCTATCCATTTTACTTGTTCAACAACACTGCTATCCATTTTACTTGTTCAACAACACTGCTATCCATTTTACTTGTTCAACAACACTGCTATCCATTTTACTTGTTCAACAACACTGCTATCCATTTTACTTGTTCAACAACACTGCTATCCATTTTACTTGTTCAACAACACTGCTATCCATTTTACTTGTTCAACAACACTGCTATCCATTTTACTTGTTCAACAACACTGCTATCCATTTTACTTGTTCAACAACACTGCTATCCATTTTACTTGTTCAACAACACTGCTATCCATTTTACTTGTTCAACAACACTGCTATCCATTTTACTTGTTCAACAACACTGCTATCCATTTTACTTGTTCAACAACACTGCTATCCATTTTACTTGTTCAACAACACTGCTATCCATTTTACTTGTTCAACAACACTGCTATCCATTTTACTTGTTCAACAACACTGCTATCCATTTAGAAGAATTCACAAGCCTTCACTGTTCAATTATGCATCAGCTTCATCTAGTCTTTATTTGAAACAATTATTCTAAAACTGGATTGTGTGACAATTTTTGTATGACATATCAAATTTTACAACGTAAATTGATCAAAACACGGATGATCTGATTAAAATATTTTGTTCAGCATCATCCTAATCTGTATTACTTGTATTATCAATCATGATATCAAGACTACTATCACTGTCACTGTCTGTCTGAGATTTATCAATGAAAGCCGCAATGTAGACATTTCTAGACCTTTTCCTTACCATTTGGTCTGAGAAATCACAGAACAATTGTATCGCAGATCGCACTGAATGAATTAAAAACAAATCAAAAATTAAACCTTTCAACTCATCATGCTTGCAAAATAATATTATTTCCTTTCGCTAATTCTAGTTTTCAAAACATTTTCATACAAATCATTTTCCTCACAAAACAAAACAGTATAAGAGTATGTATAAGCAAAGCCACTAAAGTGGCGATCTGTCCTAACGTGATGGATTCAGAAGCCAAAAAAGTGGCGATCTGTCCTAACGTGATGGATTCAGAAGCCAAAAAAGTGGCGATCTGTCCTAACGTGATGGATTCATAAGCCAAAAAAGTGGCGATCTGTCCTAACGTGATGGATTCAGAAGCCAAAAAAGTGGCGATCTGTCCTAACGTGATGGATTCAGAAGCCAAAAAAGTGGCGATCTGTCCTAACGTGATGGATTCAGAAGCCAAAAAAGTGGCGATCTGTCTTAACGTGATGGATTCAGAAGCCAAAAAAGTGGCGATCTGTCCTAACGTGATGGATTCAGAAGCCAAAAATGTGGCGATCTGTCCTAACGTGATGGATTCAGAAGCCAAAAAAGTGGCGATGTGCCCTCAGAGCTAGATTCATTGTGTGGGTTTTGGGAACCCATTTAACACACAAAAAAGGTTTCTGTTTACCCACAGCAACCTCACACAAATGTTTCTGTTTACCCACAGCAACCTCACACAAATGTTTCTGTTTACCCACAGCAACCTCACACAAATGTTTCTGTTTACCCACAGCAACCTCACACAAATGTTTCTGTTTACCCACAGCAACCTCACACAAATGTTTCTGTTTACCCACAGCAACCTCACACAAATGTTTCTGTTTACCCACAGCAACCTCACACAAATGTTTCTGTTTACCCACAGCAACCTCACACAAATGTTTTAAAAGCTGAATTATTATAAACCTATTGAAATTGAATGTGTTTGCTGAAAAACCAAGCTGTGGACCGCAATACAATGTGCCAATCAGCCTTTTAAAAGTAAACTGGTGAAGAAAAATAGAAAAAGAAGAAGAAGAAAAGAAATGTTTTCATCCCTGCATGCATGGTCATCATGTACTTCTCATTAAAAACAGTCAGTGAAGACGTGAAGCCAAAATGATCAGAAGTATTGAATTTTGAAACAACCAGTTGTTTTTAGTACTGAGAGAATTTATACAATTCTTTTTTTGCATTTGATTTAAAGTGGAAATTTACACATTTTTGTTCTCAGTGCCTGTGATTGTAAAGTGGAGATTTACACATTTCTGATTGTAAAGTGGAAATTTACACATTTCTATTCTCAGTGCCTGTGATTGTAGAGTGGAAATTTACATGTTTCAGTTCTCAGTGCCTTGGATTTCAAAGTGGGAATTTCCATAGTTCTTTTTTGAGTGCATTGGATTGTAAAGTGGGTAGATTACCTGTAGATCAGAAGATGGTCATGGGTAAAGTGGTTAGATTACCTGTAGATCAGAAGGTCATGTGTAAAGTGGGTAGATTACCTGTAGATCAGAAGGTCATGTCTAAAGTGGGTAGATTACCTGTAGATCAGAAGATCATGTGTAAAGTAGTTAGATTACCTGTAGATCAGAAGAAGGTCATGTGTAACGTGGTTAGATTACCTGTAGATCAGAAGAAGATCATGTGTAAAGTGGTTAGATTACCTGTAGATCAGAAGAAGATCATGTGTAAAGTGGTTAGATTACCGGTAGATCAGAAGAAGATCATGTGTAAAGTGGTTAGATTACCTGTAGATCAGAAGAAGATCATGTGTAACGTGGTTAGATTACCTGTAGATCAGAAGAAGATCATGTGTAAAGTGGGTAAATTACCTGTAGATCAGAAGAAGATCATGTGTAAAGTGGGTAGATTACCTGTAGATCAGAAGGTCATGTGTAAAGTGGGTAGATTACCTGTAGATCAGAAGGCATGTGTAACGTGGTTAGATTACCTGTAGATCAGAAGAAGATCATGTGTAAAGTGGTTAGATTACCTGTAGATCAGAAGAAGATCATGTGCAAAGTGGGTAAATTACCTGTAGATCAGAAGAAGATCATGTGTAAAGTGTGTAGATTACCTGTAGATCAGAAGATGGTCATGGGTAAAGTGGGTAGATTAGCTGTAGATCAGAAGAAGGTCATGGGTTCGAGTCCTGATGGAGCTGAATGTTTTTTAAAAATGACCTTGGCTCCCAAGTCGACCCGCCTGGGTGGTTGCAGTCCTGGGAAGTAAAGGTGGCAGGCATGATGTTGACCACTATAAGACATAGCTGTGGCCCTATATGCCCAATACACCCGAGGGTGTGGAGAAGTCTCCTTTACCATATTCCATTATTATGCATGCATTCACCATGTGACAGTTTTGGACACAAGTTTCTCTTACCCATACAGATCGCTTTGAAGTGATTTTTCTATTGTAATCCATGAACTACTCTCTGCCAGGTGACAGTTGTAGACCCACTATCTCCACAGTGGGTGGTAGAAAGTGATCTTGACAAAAGTTTCACAGAGAGAACAGTTACGGATCCTAATGCTCGTGGCTATACCATTGAGAACCTGGATCGTAACAGTTTCTACGAAATCCGTATCACTGCCAGAAACAAGGAGGGCGAGTCCGTCGAGGAGGCCAGAATAATCAAAACTGCTGCCGGAGGTTAGTGCACGTTGTCACTACTTTATTTGTTTCCTTTATTGTTGAGTTTTTATGTAAATTCGTGGATAAAATCTAGTTTATGATCAAAGGGACAAAATAAGGCTAACGATGCAAAAATCTTGATTGATAAAATACAGTTGACCATTGAGAAGCCTTTGAGGTGCCATGATGAAAATATTGTTGACCATGCAAGTGATTTTGGTTCACATATTAAAATTGACCATATAAGTGCCTTGATTCACACAATAAAGTTGACCATAAAAGTGCCTTGATTCACACAATAAAGTTGACCATATAAGTGCCTTGATTCTATCTATCTATTGTCTTCTTCCCTATTACCGGGTTGCAGCCCAGTGTCGTGGTTTAAAATATTTGTTTTGTGCCTCTCGCGTGATTTGAGTGACAGTTTTCTGGATCTTCTGGCTGTATTCAGCTACTCCATCTATCCATTTTTTCCTGGGTCTTCCCGATGTTCTACTGTAAAAGGCCTTATAGGCAATCTGATCCGGTTGCATTCTTACTAAATGGCCAAACCACTTCATTCTCTGTCTTTCAATATGTTCCATGCATGCTCTTGTTCCAACTTTGTCTCTAATGCTGACGTTTGTGACTCTGTCTCTTCGTGTATTGTTGGTGACTCTTCGGAGACATCGCATTTCACACGTAGTTATTTTTTGGCATATGTGATTTGTTCATTGTCCACGTTTGGCACTAATAACATAACGTAGGGATGAAAATGCTGTTGATCATCCGTTGTTTGGCTGGTAGCGAGTGCCTTGATTAACAAAATAAAATTGACCATATAAGCTCTTTTTTAACTGAATAAAATTGATCATATAACTTGATTAATATATAAAATTGATAATAAAATTGATCATATAACTTGATTTAATATATAAAATTGACCATATACATGCTTCACATAATAAAGTTTACAATCTATGTTGTCTCAGTTGATAAAAAAATGTTTAGATACATTGTCTGACATAAGAACAGTGGGCAGAGTCCCTAATTAAGCAGAGGAACATCACTGACCCAAGCGTCCTGGTCGGTGTTATTAAGTTGACTGTCTAGAGACATAATCAAGTTGTCTGTCTAGAGATATAATCAAGTTGGCTGTCTAGAGACATAATCAAGTTGACTGTCTAGAGACATAATCAAGATGGCTGCCCAGAGACACAATCAAGTTGGCTGTCTAGAGACATAATCAAGTTGACTGTCTAGCGACATAATCAAGTTGGCTGTCTAAGAGACATAATCAAGTTGACTGTCTAGAGACATAATCAAGTTGGCTGTCTAGAGACACAATCAAGTTGGCTGTCTAGAGACATAATCAAGTTGACTGTCTAGAGACATAATCAAGTTGGCTGTCTAGAGATATAATCAAGTTGACTGTCTAGAGACATAATCAAGTTGACTGTCTAGAGATATAATCAAGTTGACTGTCTAGAGACATAATCAAGTTGACTGTCTAGAGATATAATCAAGTTGACTGTCTAGAGATATAATCAAGTTGGCTGTCTAGAGACATAATCAAGTTAGCTGTCTAGAGACATAATCAAGTTGGCTGTCTAGAGACATAATCAAGTTGACTGTCTAGAGATATAATCAAGTTGGCTGTCTAGAGATATAATCAAGTTGACTGTCTAAAGATATAATCAAGTTGACTGTCTAGAGATATAATCAAGTTGGCTGTCTAGAGACATAATCAAGTTGGCTGTCTAGAGATATAATCAAGTTGACTGTCTAGAGACATAATCAAGTTGACTGTCTAGAGATATAATCAAGTTGGCTGTCTAGAGACATAATCAAGTTGGCTGTCTAGAGACACAATCAAGTTGGCTGTCTAGAGACACAATCAAGTTGGCTGTCTAGAGATATAATCAAGTTGGCTGTCTAGAGATATAATCAAGTTGACTGTCTAAAGATATAATCAAGTTGACTGTCTAGAGATATAATCAAGTTGACTGTCTAGAGATATAATCAAGTTGGCTGTCTAGAGACATAATCAAGTTGGCTGTCTAGAGACATAATCAAGTTGACTGTCACTCAGTTCATTGTTGTTGGCACCTCTCCATCTCTCCAGACAATAGTTTTGATTGTGTTGGAGGGAGGCAAGGGCCTCACAGCCTATGTCCATGGTGAGTGTGACAAGCAAGACCTGCTCTCTTTAAAACCAATCTTCCCCAACAGGTGCATGAGATTATAGAACCTTTTCCTTGTCTCCTTATTCCTTTAATAATTTCCACCCTTCACGGTATTCTGTTCTCCTGAATCCACCTTAATACCTGTATCCTTCATGCCCCACTTGCACACATCTTTATATCACAGTAGAGATCCAAAAATCTTCAACCCATCTGTAATTCATTGTAGAAGTCTTGGGGGGGGGGGGGGGGGGGGGGGGTGATGCTTAGGAGTTGCATAAGACAACAACGACATATTAAAGAAATATGGGAATTTCATCTGTCCTTCTACTTCTTCGATACACCAACTATAACTTTGATGGAAAGTTCTGGTTGTTCAGCCATTTCTGAACTTTGTTCTTGTTGCAGAATTTGAGTTTTGCTTGCACATGCATTTGATAGATCTGGCATGTTTTATGCAGGCTACGGATTCCTTGCCTCTCCAGCTAGCCTCTCAAGCTGATGCACTCTGACTTCAATGAAATGAAACACCATTAATTAGTCAGCTCATTGGAAAGAGGTGGGGGAGGGGGGGGGGAGGAAGATAGACCCTCCCCCCCCCCCCCTCATTCCTCAAAAATAGGTCCCTGGAACCCAGACAAGGAGTATGAGTTTTACAAAATGCTACACAATAAAACAAACCAGACAAAAACAGCAGACAGGCAACATACGGACAGTAAAAGATCCTTATTGAGATGTTATTCACCCAATTGGATGCACTTATATTAGAGGCAAGTTTTGGAGGCCATACCATGAACAAGTTACAGTCTAATCCACTAATATCTGCACATTGCTGTTGTTATTACTGCTGTTGTTATTTCTTTTACCACCTTCATCACCACCACTATCATCATCACCACCATCACATTTCACGGTAAGTTACATGACCCCTATTGACCAATCAGCAACCCCCTCCAGCAGGAACCCTAACCCATAATCTTGATTCCAGGTGGTAGCCGAGCAGGTCAGACTGGTAAGAGTTGCTGTTCTTTGATTCCCAGTTGTGATTTTTCATTGTCTCTCACATTTGCTTGTTTATTCTGCGTCCCAATTGTGGTTAACATTAACTTCTATTGGCAAATGATGTTGATGCTGGCTACAGCCCACCATTTACCCAACTATAACCATTACCAAACCATTGTACACGCATTAACTAGAGTGTCCATAAAACTGGCACATTGATTGCATTGTCCACAATATTGACTCATTAATTATTGTCCATTAATTGAGAGAATAATTCATGTTTCTATAAACTGAAGCAATAATTATATTATTAAAAACATTTACCCATTATTGAGATTGTTAAATGATACATTAATGAGATTGTAAATGTACACATTAATTAGTGTATCATAAATGGTTACAACAGATAGGTTGTCCATAAATGGCACATTAACTGGACGAGTATGAATAAATTGATGCATTGTCGGATTATTTACTAATTTCTAAGTTAATCTATAAATGGTTAAATAATCTTTAAATGGATACATTTTTAGATTGTCTATAAACAGAGACATTAATTAAATTATTTCATAAACATGTACATGGATTTATCATCGTACTACTGATGTCCGTTTCAGTTTATTTCCTAACAACTACCCTAGCTATCACAATCAGTTGCTATTTTCCAATCTAGTTGTAAACTTAACACTTTCCGTTCTAATTATAAACTTACCAATTTCTGTTCTAAACAGGTGTAATAGTACCTTTTCTGTTGCACTAAACAGTTTTTATAATCCGTTATAAATTGAACACTTTCTTTAACAGTTTCTCTTCTGTATATAAATTAAAAATTTTCACTAAGAGATACAAATTAAACACTTTTTGCACTTGTTTTGTTATCCTCTTCTCCGTGAGAGATTGATTGTTTCAACTTCTGTGGACTCTGACTTTTATTTTATGAGTATTTGTTTTCTAGTTATTAATTGAAAACTTATTACTCTAAACACATGTTAGTAGACTGGTTGTGTATTCTCTGGAGTATTGTCAATTTTCACCTTTACTCTCAGGGTCGTTACATTGATTTCCAAGTCATTTGATACCTTAAAGAATCTCAACTTTGATGTCCTTTTATCGTTCAATTGTGCTTTGGCTACAGCTGGCCCCACCCCAACCCTTATCAGTTACCTTTTAGGGCAGTTGTGGTTGGTTATGCTTGTATTATTTATTGTGCATATGCAACTCAGCAACAGACGGGGCACTGCCAAGATTTTATAGCATTATGAAATCTTGTCCTAGACATTGAATCCCAGTTGCCTCCAAGTGTTAGCTTCCCTCCTTCATGTCAGTCAGCCAGTTACCATATAATCTGTAGATATATATTTCCTTAAGTACAAACAAATGTAGAGTTAGTCAAGTCAGTGAACATTGTACTGTATGGAGTTGATAGGACACTTGTATGATACAGGCCTACATGTTGATTCTGTTCAGTAGCTATATTCACTCATTCAGGCATTTTCAGTTCCTTGTGTACTATGGCATTCACAGTACATTTTTGGATTATAGATTATTGAATTTTTCTTGTTTCTTTCTTCTTTTGTGTCATTCTACTGTATCCCAGTTGTTATCTTCATGAAGTTTCCTAAACACTTTATTATTGTAACCATTGAGACTGAAATTTGCTGTTCTAAAGTACAAAAACAGAGATTACAAGTATTGAATATCTGCTTGGAGCTGACAAATGTAATAATTCTGAGCCATACCCAGTTAATTGATTCAGAAGCTTATCTCATGAACACAGACAAGGCAGCCATGATGCCTGTCTGTGGGATTATTCATAGAATTGTGGGAAGTGCAAAGCTGTGGATGTTACATGCCCAGGGCACCGGAGACAAATACTAGATTCAGAAATGTGTTCGCTTAAACTTTAATTGATTTAACTATTGTAGTTTGTTTCCTGTAATGTCATACTCATTGAACTATTTGCTGTTTTCTTTCCATCTTTCATGTTCTTCATCATATCATCAGTTGATGAAGGAGAGGGAAGTGATGAGGAGAAAGTTACTGATGATAATGATCAGAACGATATTAATGTTGGTGTTGTGGATAATGATGGAAAAGATGAGACAAATGAAGTGAAAACTGGTGACACATTAGGACAGAAGTCTGTTACAGACAGCACAGGTATTGTTGACAGGTCTTCCTTGTTGCATCCAAGCTTCTGTTGCCAGTGCTGAGAGGCTTCATTTTAGCTTGTGTTTTATTTTCTGCATTTGAACTTATTTATCGGTTGGTTGGTTGGTTTATTTGATGTTCTGTTCAGTGAGGTTTGCCATAGTGCTCTGTCATCATGCATGAGTTATTTTTATGTGGTTACTAGTTTGTTTTTTTTTTTTTTTTGGTAGTGGAGTCAGATTTTTAGCCTAATGAATAGCACACATCTATGGCACACACATATTACAATTTACACATACTTATGCTGCAAACAATCACACTACGTGCAAATACTACACACATGCACACTCTACACACTTACTACATGCATATTAAACACACCACACATACTACACACACACCCGTCACATACTACACTCATACAAGACATAAACACCACACTCACAGCTACCTTTACAAAAATGTGTGTGGAGCAAGAAATGGGTGCAGAAGCTCGTGGATAGACAGAAGAAAAATGTCTGTGATGTTGATAAGATAAATTAAATTTATGGGAAATTACAGAAGAGTGGAATAGAAACATTATCTTGAGCCGAGTTGAGAACTGACATTATAACATAACATTCCTATAAACACTACATTCCCATCTTCAGCAGCCAGCATAGAGTTCCAGCTCTACTGGTACCAGTGAGTGACAGTCTGACTGTGTGTCTGGGTCACTTTTCCTCAGAGTGTAGAGTTTTGGCCAGATCTACTGCCCACTGCCCACTGCACCATTCTCTTCAGACTGTGAAGATTGATAGCTTGTCATGCATCAGTTTGCCCCCTTGTGGTGCAGAACCAGCTGATCTGTCTGCTTGTTCCTTTCCCAATAAATCTGAATGCCCTGGAGAAAATAAGGGGCACTAATTATCCAGAAATTCTGAGCTAGTCACTCTGTATAGAACATAGCTGCACATTATTGAGGGGGAATATTTGGCAAAGTGGCAGAGGAAAACAGAGTTGAGAGGTAAACCGATTGCAAGGGAAAGCTTCAACAGCTGGCCAACATATAATAGTAAAGCAAAACAAACTTCATCACGAACTTCGGAGAAAAGTGGATCATCAATGTCAGCTTCAAACCATGTACTTGTAGTCAGAGAAGAACGGCTTAGAAATACTGCACCTGACTGGTATCAAGTTCACCTACTGTATAGATGGTTACACAATATTGGATACTTCGGATACAAAATATTAACACTGTGTGGATTGTTATAAAATAAAACTTAACAATGAGGGAATTCATTATTGTTACTGTGACTGGCTGGTCATGAGTATTACATAAATCACAAACTCCAAAGTGCAAGCAACTGTCCCCAGGATCTGCAGAAACAATGATATTCCTGGTCAGACACAAGACAGGAAACAAACCCATGACTTTCAGAGCATGAGGCTTGGTCACTTCTCCGGGGAGACCCCTGGCAGCCTAAGAAAATAATGGTAGACTTTCCGAATTGTAGGGCAGCGGGTCGGACATGTAACCCTTTTGGGATGGAGATGGATGGTAACTTTGAGGATGTACGTTTATTTTGTAAACATTATGTGTTGTGACAAGGGTACTGCAAGGTATTTCAGTTGTCAGATCCCACAGATACCTGTTTGGGTTCCATTGAGGCATAGGTTGTGGGGGGGTGGGGGGGGGGGCGCGGGGGAGACAGACCCATCCCCTCCCCCAAACATGCTTACTTAGCGACCAACGAGAGGTGTGCTGAAAAGGGATGGTTGCGCCAAAAGAAATAGATTCATTGCCTAGCTGTAAATCACAACACTTTATGCCGAAAGAAGAAGATACCATGGGCTTAAACAAGATGATTGACCCACTGAGGCCAAAAATTATTTGCTAGTGAACATAAACGCCACTTCAGCAGGGTGGACATTAGACAGAGATATCAGGATATGATTACAGATCTATGGCAGGCCTCTAGTTTTGCTTCCATGTCATTTTGCTTTTATTCAGTTCCTCAAGGAATGCCAGCAGATAATGATGATATTATTGATCAGTTCCGCAGACACAGACATGTGTCTGTATATGTTGAGAGATTGCTTCTTCATGACTTCCTGTGCCTTTCAGTTTGTCATTGAGCCTGCATTTTTGTTTGGTTTTGTAACTTTTTTTGTTTTGTTGGCATTTTTTTTTTTTGGAAGCATTTCTGATTACTTCAGGAATTAGCGGGAACCTTTGAATGTGTTTATTTGTAAAGTTTTCTTGAATGCAAAGAAAACTACATTTACGGTCATTGATGGGCACTCAAACAGAAGCAGGGGAAAGAGTAAGCTTGAGAAATATAAGACAGTGAAGATGAAGTAAAAACTGTTAGTACAGTGATTTACTATTTGATTTGATTTCTGTCTTCTGTTGCAATTGCATGCTGGGACAGTAGCTAGGGAATTTGCCAGTCATCTCAGAGTTTATGTATTTAATTCCCAACTGAGGCAGGGATGTTTCAAGTATTCATTTGGACTTCCCAGTTAAGACAGCCAGCGCGTCACCGGTTAACTATAAAATGGGAATCCAATATGGTGTAGTGAACTAGCATCAGAAACCCATGGCACTTTGTGGCATTAGGAAGACTCCAGTCAATTTTATGTTGACTTTGCTGTTGTGAGTGCTAATCAATGCCTGCAAATGTATCTCTCATGTTATCTCATTGATCTCCAGAGTTTCCAAGTACTAGAGACTTTTGTTGAGTTTTGCCGGGTTTGGGTTTATTTGTGTATCAGCTCAGAGTTGTATTGATTATTTTGTTGACTTGAGACCAGTTCTGTCGGTTTGATTTCATTGATCCAGCTTGCTCGTTTGGTTCAGTATTTGTTAGCTTACCTGTCCATTCATGTGCTGCAGTCCTCTGGGTCAAGGCCAGCCTCACTTCCAACATGTTTTTTGACTGCTGCCTGATTGAGAGTGTTATCAGAAAAAACCTGCCTATTTACTTCAGTTTGGCTGCTGCATCTCTGGAATCTACACACACGACCACATCCTGAATGTCTGCACTGATTAGCACTTGATGTTTGGTTATGATCAGTAGAAGCCTAGACTACTGGTGTTGTTAATCGTTGTGTTTTAATTATATTACAGCATCCGCTCATATGTCCTTGTCTGCTAGTTGTCTATAAGAATTATCTGTTATTGTATGTAGTTGTCTATAAGAATTCATCTGTTCTGCCTCCACCTGCCTCTCTGTTCTGCCTCCACCTGCCTCTCTGTTCTTGTGTTCAACATTTATTGTTAGATATTAGGGTGATTTATTTTGCAACCAGCATGGATCTGGGAGTGGACCTGGATCTGGGAGTGGACCTGGCTCTGGGAGTGGACCTGGATCTGGGAGTGGACCTGTATCTGGGAGTGGACCCGGATCTGGGAGTGGACCTGGATCTGGGAGTGGACCTGGCTCTGGGAGTGGACCTGGATCTGGGAGTGGACCTGGCTCTGGGAGTGGACCTAGATCTGGGAGTGGACCTGGCTCTGGGAGTGGACCTGGATCTGGGAGCGGACCTGGCTGTGGAAGTGGACCTGGATCTGGGAGTGGACCTGGCTCTGGGAGTGGACCTGGCTCTGGGAGTGGACCTGGCTCTGTGAGTGGACCTGGCTCTGGGAGTGGACCTGGCTCTGGGAGTGGACCTGGCTCTGGGAGTGGACCTAGCTCTGGGAGTGGACCTGGATCTGGGAGTAGACCTGGATCTGGGAGTGGACCTGGCTCTGGGAGTGGACCAGGATCAAATTGACAGTTGTCAGGGACAGATTGGTTACATAGAGGGCAACAGACAATCCCACCACATCCAGGATGTAGGGACATTTTACGCCTCATCCAGGATGTATGGACATTTTACACTTCATCCAGGATGTAGGGACATTTTACACCTCATTCAGGATGTAGGGACATTTTACACCTCATCCAGGATGTAGGGACATTTTATGCCTCATCCAGGATGTAGGGACATTTTACGCCTCATCCAGGATGTATGGACATTTTACACCTCATCCAGGATGTAGGGACATTTTACACCTCATCCAGGATGTAGGGACATTTTACACCTCATCCAGGATGTAGGGATATTTTATGCCTCATCCAGGATGTATGGACATTTTACACCTCATCCAGGATGTAGGGACATTTTATGCCTCATCCAGGATGTAGGGACATTTTACACCTCATCCAGGATGTAGGGATATTTTATGCCTCATCCAGGATGTAGGGACATTTTACACCTCATCCATAGTATCTATATGTTTATCTGCTCCTAGGCTCTTATGAAAGATTTATCTTGAGGCATTGAATGAATGAATGAACAAATGAAAATATTTTGTTTCCAATAGGTCATAGACTGGGCAATCAGGCATGATGTTCTTGCAATCAGATCTTTCAAACACTCATATTTATGTTCTTGCAATCAGATCTTTCAAACACTCATATTTCACCCATTAATTGTATTTCATAAATTAAGCTTATTATCTTTATGTATACAAATTCATAACTTGAATGTTAAGTAAATATATATAAGAATGGATGGCAAATTCATGCCTTCAAATATACGTGCAAAAATACAACAGACAATCCAAACATGTGAGACAGACGTACAGATTTAAATACAGAAGCACACACACACACACACACACACACACACACACACACACACACATTTACACACATTCAGGTGCACACACACACACTACAGACACTCACATCCACCCACTCACATCCACACTCACCAGTCAGTGAAGTTACTTCTCTGTAGACAAATCAACACTGATGGGCGATATAGTCATTGCTGAGTCATCTGTATTTAGATCTCATAACCTTTCCTTGCACCTATAAGGGGCAGGTGGTCACTGGATCTCCGGTCAATTTTTAACCATCCCTGACTCAGAGGGGATTCAAATACATGACCACTGGCTTCTAAATAAGTGTGCTAGCCGCTTAACCACTGTAATCTTCGGGCGTATTTGAGAGTTATGTTTCATCGCTGAATTCTCT